GAATAACGCGATTTTCTCTACGCTTGCTTAGACACGTTTACGGGGCAAAAACTGTTTAGTCATGTCGAATGGTTCTCTTTTAGCGCCGTGCTCTCTATTGCGTGTTCCTGTTAATGTTGCTGTTGCTGACCTTTCATTGTATGGCGCGCAAATTCAACCACTGGCGACGGGTTGCGTGAAAAAAACTGTACTTGTGTCTCGTTCTCTCGTGACAGTTGTGAATGGCGCCTCAAGCTTATGGGCTTTCAATTGTTTTTTGGTGCCTGCTATTCTTCCGCGTAATACGAAGCTTGCAGAGTTCGACGCAATCACGTACAGCACTATCACCGTTTTAGGCGAAGAGCAGCAGTCTAAAAAAAGCGCCCCCTGGAGAAGCAGTTTTGAAAAACAGATCTTAAGAATGATCAGCAAGTCGCTGCCCTCACATGAACGCCACGCTCTTGCAAGAGTCCTTGTGCCACATCTTTCGGTGTTCGATTTCACACAAGGTGACACGGAGTCTTCACTACCACGTTATCGTGCTCATCACAGGTTAGACACTGGATCTGCACATCTTGTTTGTCAAAAACGTTACCGCCTGTTGTCGACAGAAAGGGCAGTGATAGCTGAAGAGGTCACCGACATGTTACGGAAAGATGTTGTCAAAGAGTCGTAGGGTCCGTGGGCAGCGCGTGTGACCTTAGAAAAGAAGAAGGATGAATCACGGCCGTTTTGCATTAACTCTATAAAACTAAATATGGTCACCAAAAAGGATGTGTATCCACTTCCTAGAATTGATGACGTCATTGATTGCCTGCATTCCGCTGCCTACTTTTTGTCACTGTATTTCCGATCATGGTAGTGGCAAATACCCACGCAACCAAACGACAAAGAGAAAACGGCTTTTGGGACGCCTGATGGTCTTTATGAATTTATTGGTATGCGGTTTGGTCTTTCTGATGCACCGGCAACGGTCGAACAATTTATGGACACAATTCTTCGAGGACCTAATGAGAATTTGTTTGTGCTCCCTATATGGTGTGATGATATTCGGCAGCACACTGAACGAGCATAACAGTTGTCTCAGTCTTGTTTCGAATTGTATACGAAAGGCCGGGTTGGTTCTAAACTCTAAGAATTGTCGTTTTGGTGAAGTGGAGACATCAGTACTTGGACATCTTTTTGACTAAAACAGAGTCAGACCAGACCCACAAAAAATCGAGGCCATCAGCTCTTTCGAACCACCAAAATCGGTGCTGGAATTGAGGAGCTTCTTTGGCCTATGCTCATATTTTCTTCGTTTTGTTCCAAGGTTTGCACACGTAGTGCATTCCCTAACATGTCTTATTCAAAAGGATGTCCCTTTCAAACAGGACTTCAGCTTGCGACAATGCGTTCCGCCAGTTGAAATTTTACTAACGTCGGGGTGCACTTTGCGTCACTTCGAACCGCTTTTTCCTAGAGAAAACCATGCTGATGCTAGTGGCATCGGCATCGGTGCTGTACTTGTGCAGCGGCATCAAGGAGCTCAGCCCGTAGTGGCTACTTCCAGTCCCTGTTTCAACAAAGCTGAGCGAAACTCTACCATAACAGGACAACAATGCTTGGCAGTAGTTTTTGCGGTACACAAATTTTTATCTTATATTTATGGACGTACGTTCACAATCGTTACCGACCATCACGCTTTATGCTGGCTAAAGCATATTTATAACCCGACTGGTCGACAAGCGCGTTAGGCTCTTCAACTTCAAAAATACGACTTCGTCGTCTCGTTCAAGTCTTGACGCCACCACGCAGATGCCGACACTCTCTCCCGCTATCCCCTGAAGAGACTGAGTGTGAAGAAGATTGATTGATATGTGGGGTTTAACGTCCCAAACCCACCATTTGATTGTGAGAGACGCCGTAAGGAAGGGCTCCGGAAATTTTGACTACCTGGGTTTCTTTAACGTGCACCCAAATTTGAGCACACGGGCCTACAACATTCCCGCCTCCACCAGAAATACAGCCGCCGCAGCCTGGATTCAATCCCGTGACCTGCGGGTCAGCAGCCGAGTACCTTAGTCATTAGACCACCGCGGGGGGGGGGGGGTGAAGATTACAGTTTTGACGAATGCTTTGCCTCTATTTCTTTCTCATTCCCAGACTTAATTACTTAAAAAAGAACAAGAGGCTGATTTTAGCCTGGAGCCATTACTTGTCACGGCATCGCGTCCTCGAGCCATCGGCCGCTTTTGTGTCTCTCACGGCCTTCTATAGAAGACAAATTATTCGGCTAAAGGCGCACGCTTCCTTCTAGTCGTACCACAGAGTCTATAATTTGAGATACTGAAAGCCTCGCACGCCGATTCGACAGCTGGTCATCTGGGATTCATCAGAACTTTATATAGTACACAAGAGCGCTTTTACTGGCCCAGAATGCGGCACACAGTCAAGCACTCTTTCGCAAGTTGCGAACAATGTCAACGCTACAAGTGGCCTGCGACTCCTGCCCCAGGTCTTCTGCATCCATCGCCACCTCCTCATCTACTATTTGATCAAGTTGGTATCAATATTTTGGGCCTCTTTTTCACACTCCTCCAACAACAATCGATGGGTGATAGTATGCGTCGACCATCTGACTCGTTACGCAGAAACTGCGGTGATACCATTCTCGACAGCGGCATGCGTGGCCATGTTTTGGCTTAGATTCATCATTCTTGGGCATGGCCCTCCAAAAGTGATCATTAGTGATCGTGGTCATCAGTTCGTTGCAGACACCATCAAAGAACTGGTTCGTCTGTGCGATTCGCAGTTCCGCCATTTATCCCCTTATCACCCTCAGCTAGACGAATGGGCTCACGGAGGAAGGAAGGGTAGGAGAGGGCATGCCCTGCTGGTGCGCTACGTGAAAAGTATGGAGGAAATGACATCAAGGCGGCCATATTCACTAGGAACAATGGCAGCGTTGCTATTGTTACGTGTTGCGCAGTGAAGCTGGTCTAGCAGAGAGCTTCCGCGGCTGGCGGTGGCATGCGTGCCTCGCCAGGTTTCGCGCTGAGGCGTGGCGGACAATATCCGTGCTCTGCGCCGTTTTATTAGTGACGCAGTGTTCTCCTGGCAGCTGCCTTACCCTTAGCAATGTTTAAAAATTATTTTGTTCATCATAGGGTTTCAACAGTGCGTAGAACGAGTGTACATCCGTTTGCCGTGTGGCGGATGATGCGGATAGGTGAAGCAATTAGTGTTTGGCGACATTGTACTGAGCACCATGATAAAGCGGAACGACGACGAACGCCTTGCCGTTAAGTGGCAGTTGGGCAGTGCTCCTGCTTGTAACAACGGATGAAGTTGCTGAGCCCAGCAAGACGCAATGAGGACCATGTGCACATACGTAGTTTCATGTTCTTTGTGTACAGTAACAACTCGCATGTGCGTATTAGAACACCTTTTCTGTTTCGCTTCGTATACTCTCCCCAGCATTGCATGTACTCTTAACGAACCAGCAACCATGTTCAAGTGTCACTTGCACCGTGCTCAAAATCACTATGGTCACAGAATGCTGACGCCAGTAAGTTTCACGCGCAACACGGACACAGTGGCCGGGCGCTGCGTCGGCCGCGTGGCGGAATGCAATCGTAGAAGGCTAATGACATATCGTGTAGTCTGTTTTGTTGCTGAATCAATGAAGTGAAAACACTCGCCATTGTCAGTGCATCTAGCGCGCGTTCTTTTGTATTTGCTTCGTTGTCAGTGAGCTGTTACTCGCTCTTAATACTCGGACGAAATAACTTCACCGAAGGTGTAGTGCTGGCCCAGAATGTTGAGCCCCGTTTCATTGGTTTCGGATCGTCACGACACACGCGCGGCGAAGCTCACGTGCTTTCCGAGCCGGAGAGAGAGTCGTACCTTCTACTTTACATTCGGATGTATAAAAGAGAGGAGAATGTGCGCAGTAAATATGCCCTACTTTCGGCTTCATCGCGGCTTTACAGTGATTGACGTCAGGGCCTCTCCTCCCGTTTCATCCTCCGTGAATAGGCTGGTAAAACGTACGAACTAAACTCCGAATAACATGTTGGCCATGTACGTAATATCTGGCCTCAAAGACTGGGATGACGTTTTCCCCTTCATTACCTATGCGTATAGCATGGCCAATCATGAGACACCCAATTACAGTCCTTTTTACCGCCTTTACAGAAGCTCACCGTTAAGCTGCGTTGGTACTATTCTAACATTAGACTTCGATAATGACTATTTTGTCTCGAAGACACTCTGCCTAGCCGAATAAGCCCGGCGTATTGCTCGTCTTCATACTGTCGCTTCGCAACACCGATCTAAGGAAAGCTATGACAGCCTCCATCAGTCTGTCGCATACTCCAAAGGAGACGTTGTGGTTGTGGACGCCCCAACGTAAACGAGGCCTATGTGAGTTTCTACCCCAGTACAATAGCCCATTCATCATTGTTGATCGCTTCAGTGATTTGACGTCCATGGTAGCACAGCTGACAACAGCTGGCCGTCGGTCAAACCGGACCCAGCTGGTACTTGTCACTCACTATAAACGGTTTCACCCTAACCGTTCCGAGTGATTCATATTCGCCCAGCGTGCTTCGTCTGAGATCCGGAAAATGCGACGGGTATGAGCCGAGAGAGGAGAAAAGCAGGAAGATGAGAACTGGTGCAGATACCGACTTCATTATTACAAGACCATCAACCTTGCCCTGTGAACAAATGCCCTTCAACTCTAACCGTAACAATATGTTCTGCTATATCACCAGGGCCTGCGAGTATTGGTTTTAGCTCTACATTACCTACGTGATGTATAATGGTCAGCAGTGTTTAAAAAATTTCATTTCGTCATAAAGTCGTCTTACGAGATTAAATGGGGGACCATGTGAGGTTTTTTGTGTAATTATTTCTAATAAAAACTGAATTTCGTCGGTCATTACGCATTACTGCCCAAAATTTGTGAAGTTGTTTTTTGTGTACAGACTGCAAAATGTGACCTCCGTTCCTTCTTCTTATTGTTACTTTTTCAGTGGCCATGCTCATGGGAGAAGGAGAGGCCTGCGCTATTGCTCAAGAACTTGTGAACCAAGCGTGTAATTTGATCGGCCGGGAGGGACAAGCTGGCCTTAAAGAAGAAAACTGAGGAAAATCTAAAGAGTTCCCCTGCCTGCAAGACTTCTTGCTCAATGTCGATTAAATAAAACAGGTTGTACTGCATGTCAACAATCGAGCAAGTCTATGGTTTAAACTGTGTGATGCAACAGGGGACATAGAGCCGCTTCGGGTTGCTAAATACTGCCAGAGAACTCAAGAAAAAAATACAGCTGACGAAATTCGGTACATCTCACGTACCTCGCAAATAGATGTTATGTGAAACTCGCGAATGAAATGCTCTTGTGTAGTATTTTTTCATTGAGAAAAACGCAATACAGTGGTGCAAAAGATGTGCAGAAAGATGTGCACAGACATACGTTGGTAGCCACATATGTGTTATACGAATTGTCCCAATCATCACTTAGCGCAATTTTAAAAACTGAAGAACTGAGCTACGCAAGACAAACATAATGTACATAGTTCCAAGTACACTATTGTAGCCACCACGATTTTTGTTGTGGCAATAAATAAAGAATTTTACCACAATGCAACCTTAAATGTACTCCTTAATTTATCGAAAAGTCAATGATGCCGATGTGCACATTATGAAACTACATCCGTCTGTTACTTTCCAAAACGTACTAATCAAGTGCCCATTTCTTCCTGTTAACAAAGAAAGCCTGTGAAACGTGAAAAATAGCACGTGACGGCGTACCCGTCCTCAGAAGAAAGCTGTGACCTCAAATGGACTCACTGCTTGCAACTGCTTGGCCTTGTTTTCTGTTGCCAAATACAGCGTTGCCCCACTGCGGTGGTCTAGTGGCTTAGGTACTCGGCTGCTGGCTCACAGGTCGCGGTATTGAATCCCGGCTGTGTAGGCTGGAATTGCGATGGAGATGAAAATGTTTTAGGCCCGTGTGACCCATTTCGGGCGCACGTAAAAGAGCCCCAAGTGGTCAAAATTTCCAGAGCCCTCCACTACGGGCGTCCTCAGAATCATATTCATGGTTTGGGACGTTAAACTCCAAATACCAAAAATATCATTCAAAGACAGCATTCCGCCAATTGGAAACGGCACAGGTCGGTTGCCAACAACATGTTTTGCAATTTAGCAGTGATTCCTTTCACTTGGTTGTACGTCACAATTATTATCCATTTCTGACTTCCAGGTGTTCTTATTGATAAACGACCGGACAGCTGTTCTGATCACAGCCCGGCTGTGAAAGAATAAAGCGGTGGGTTTCCTCGAACCGAACCTGGCAGATCTTAAGCGTTTCTGTTCTGTACTTTTTCTTACACGTTTATTTCAGAGATACTGGCTTCCTCTAAGTCAAACTGTTTGAGGGCGCTGCTTTCTGATGCATGCTAATGCGCGCATCTGACTAACCACGTGTCAATTTTCAGGTTTTATGGGCTTTCATCATTCACAGCAAAAAATTAACATGTCATCGGCACCTTGGTAAATGTAATTGATTGATTAATACGTGGGGTTTAACGTCCCAAAACCACCATATGATTATGAGGGACGCCGTGTAAGCGTTCTCGAATATGAAGGTTGACTTTAAGATATTTAATTTTTTACCGTTGCTTTGCATATTCGCTATTTTTGCAACCTCTGCCGATTTGTGAAGAAACTTGACAACCTCGTAAGTTGACTTTTCGTGGCAGCGTTGTCGAAGGACTGACTACGTCACAGGAACAGGCCACAAGGTCCATTCTCGGTTCCTACCTTGTCATATTGGGATCAGTGGCAATGATACCGCAGACAACGTGGCTGGCACAACCCACCAAGAAGAGCCCACCCTTCCGATACCTCTGTCAAGGACAGACGCTGCAAGGTAACTTCGTCACCTGGCACGTAGTCCGATTCTGCTGGAGTGGAACACCCCAAGCATAAGACTCTACCAAATAAACCCTCGACTGGAACTTCGACCTCCATGTGGACTTCATCGACATGAAGCTTCACCTATTTGTCGCCTTTGGTTAGGGGTTGCATTCACGAAAAAACATATACAACCCTCACTTCATTGACGGACAGTGCGAAATGCGACGTCTGCGGCACCGAAGAAGACATCGACCATCTGCTATACCGTTCCCCTTGGTTTGCCTCTGAAAAACAGAAGCTTTCTGACGCATTGCGACAATTGGACGATCGGCCACACTCTATGCAGATAGTACTGGAGCACCTTCCTCGTCTTTCGGCGGCTCAAAAGGCAGTCAAAGCCGTCTTGCGCTTTTTGAGGACTACACGCCCGTTGAAACACCTCTAACGTTTCTGTAGTGCCACCACTGCATACGCGTCAGCCCATAGACTGACAATCCCTTTTTTGTCTCTTTCTCTCTTTTTTTCTCTCTCTCATCTTTATACTTCTCCTTCCTATTTCCCCAGCATTGGATAGCATACAGGGCATGTGCCTGGTTAACCTCACTGCATTCTCTCTTGTTGTTCTTGTTCTCCTCACCCTCCTCTGGCGATCTGTAATAGTGTCTTTAGACTCCCTCACTTGCCTTCTAGTTTCTAAGTTTAGCATAGGTAGAAAAAATGCGACTATTCTTCTCTTTGGGAATTGATATAGTATAACAAGAAAGGGAAACTTGTCTTTTAGAGAGGTAGTAGGGCATTCATTGTGAATAATTTCTCAAGAAGGGCGTAAGAGTGAATGCTACAGGAACTATTTGTGAGTTCGCACGAACATCGACTAAAAAGCTCGAAAGTTGCAGCGCTCATCTGAAGCAGAAACCACGCACAGAATGAAAATACGCGGGACGTGCATAGGCTAAGGACTGTCCCAGCTTGACACTTACTTCGCTCTCTTTAAACAGAAAGAACGTGGCCGACACGAACGAACAAGCATACACTGGACTTGCGCGAACAACTGTCACAGTTTGTGTTGGAGCAGCGTGCACCTTAAGTAAACGCGGCCATGCCTGCGAGTGAACTGACCTTCGAGCCTGTGTGAATCACGAGTCTGAGAAGCGCGCAGGAAGAGGCCAACCATTCTGGAGGCGGCGCCTAACAAGACGCCTGAGGTGACCACGTCAAATGCGAACCGATCGCGCCAGTATAGCACCATTTCGAAACTGATGACAAAACGAGCTACAGTTAGGTAGTTCTGAGGACCGCCAAAGAGTACATGGTTTCTATAAATGGCTTGCCTTTAGCAATTTTGTCATCATAAACTTCGTGGCCCAGTGATTAGCGCGGCGTGCTTCAGATTGAGAGGTCGCTGGTTCCATGCCCAATGACATAATTTTGCGTTCAGCCTTTTTAAAGACGATAGTCTTTCTTGGGAGCCTTCGACGGGAAACTTTGGTCTGCCTGTCTGTCTGTACATTTGTCTGTTTGTCCGCCCCAAACGATACCTCAAACGGCAACAAGCGGCCAACCCCGTCCGCAGCGCCCACCAATATTTCTCAAGCTTTAGCGTTCATAGTTGTGTGAGTTTTAATTAAAAAGCAAGAATGGCACACGTCTGTGCCACCATAACAACACATCGATGTTTCGTATGTCTGACTTCATACACACAAGTAACTTTAAGAACTGTATCGTTTATCGCGCTTCGCTGGCAGTGCAACGTGATGCTCAAAAAGTGTTTCCAATGCTTTGCTACGACGATGCATGGTGGTGCCCCTTGCCCATCGCTTTGCGTTCTACACCTTATCACCTCCGACACTGGCGCGCATCTTTCTCCACAGGTGCGCACGCCTTCCTTCTCGAAGATAACTGCCAGATGGCGCTCGTGTCTAACGTGCCTCGATGCGCTCGTTTGCCTCCGCTATACGCTCGAGGCACTCTAACGCAGCGCCTCCAGAATACCATTCACCGATTTTCTTGCGCAGATCATCAAATAAACGTTTTGTTCACTCTCCAGACGCAATACTATTGTCTTTCGACGACACTTGCAGTGTAACATGCAGAATTGGGCTAATTTTTATTCATTCATTAAATTATTTTGATTAGCCTCAGTGCATATAAAGTCGTTACAGAGGTGGTGGTGGGTAATATAACAAAAACTGCAGTAAAACTAGAACATAAAATACAAGTCAGTGAGAATAGATGATTTAAGAACAAAAAAGTTATTTAAGGCACAGAAAATAATCTGCCAGTGCAGTTTCAAATGACGATCCTTCTCAAATGAAGGAGATGGAGGAGGGAAGGCGGTTGCACTCGGTACTGGTTTTCGGCAGAAAGGAGTCCGAAAAAACATCAGTGCGACATAGAGGAGTGAACACTTTATACTCATGATGAAGACGTGACGATATGTATGACGGTTGTGATATGAGCTACTGTTTAATTGAATTGTTCAAGTGAAGAATTTTTCGAAAAAGGCATAGATGACAAATTTTTTTTCTAAGCTGCAAATAAAGTAGTCCGAGATCTCATTCGAATAATGAAACGATAGCTGTGCGGGAATAGTATGACATATTAAAACGTGCTGATCGATTTTGAACGGACTGAACAATGAATTTTATTGTTTTTAGACCAGTGTCCTGAACAGAAGACGCGTACTCGAGTTTAGGTCTAATGGATGTTTTGTAAAGTAGCAATTTTAAATGACATGGGGCATTAAAAAACTTTTCGCGTATGTACTCGACTGATTTATTGGAATAGTTAGTGTATTGAATGCGTGTATGCCAAGAAAGCTTATTGGTTATGTGCATTTTGAGAAACTTATACGAGATTACGTATTCAAGGTTGATGTTATTGATAGCTTAGTTAGGAAGAATGGGTGTATCAGAGGCACGTGAAACAGTTGTAATCTCGCATTTCGTGGGATTTATTATTATTAGACTTTGTGAGCCTTACTTAGAAATGTTATCTAGATCGGACTGAAGAATGACGATATCATGTAAATTAGCTATTTTGGGTCTACGACACAGTCGCTAGGGAAAAGTTTAATGGAAGTATTAATAACGACAGGGAAGTCATTATGCATATTAGAAATAGCAAGGGACTAAAAACAGAGCCTTGAGGAACGCAAGACTTTACGTCACAGTGAGATTGCTTATCTAGGATTGCTAAAAAAGGTGAGCTTTAAAGATTCTTAAATACGCACAAAACTAACAAGAGAAATTGCGTCAATGTAATGCAGCTAATCAGATAATTCAAGTGAGTTTTCTTGTTCTGGTTCGC